CACCAAGCAATGTGCTTTGTCTATAAGTGGTCATCAGTCATAGTCGGGGTAACCACTGCAAATAGAAGTCCGGGCAGAGGCATTGCATGCATGTACATATATTTATACAATCTGTAAATGCCTTTATATTTAAAATTGTTTTATGCTAGAACTTGGACAAACGACAATCAACTTTCACCATAAAACTGTTTTTTGTTTACATATTTTACCAGATACTAACTTCTCTGTGTACATCTCAAAATAATGGTGTCACCTTAAAACCAGGTGTTCAGAAGACAGACAAGACAGGAGAGAGGCCTAAAAAGCCAATCCAATTAAGGAAATTTTCTTCAGTTTTTAAGAAGCATCCAAGGATATTCTGCATGCCAAAGGCCAGCTCTTATCATTTGCCAGAGTTCATGTAAAAACTAGACCACTCTCAGCTGAGTGTAGGCCTCAGAGGGGACGTTGGTATGGGAATCACAGGAAATGCCAAGGAAGAGAATGGGTGGGAGACAAGGAAACTGGAAAACTAAAGAAAAATTTAAAAAAGGGAGTCAGCTAGGTCTGCGGGGAATAAAATACACTGTGAACAATTATTGCTTTTGCTTGTCAATAAAACTTTCCAAATATGAGATACAACCACCTTTGAGATATATTGTCTTTTTATCCAAGGATGCAGAGTGGGCAGAAGCATGTGTAAATTCACAGATAATATGCCTGCACATGTGGGAACATGGAACTCCACAGTGCTGAGAAAGATGGGAGTCCATGTCACATCTCTCCAAGCCATCCTCACTAGTAGATGTAGGTTACAAAAGTGGTGGGGAAATGGAGGCAGGCTATTCACTATCCTTCTAACCAAGTTCTGTACTGCAGGCTCATAAGGGAGGTCCTAATAGCCCACAAAGGCATATAAAGAATTTATTTAGTTTTCACCCTAAAAAGACCATACTATGCTATAGATTCTATGTTTTCTGAGCTGCTGTTATTGTGCAATTTTTAAAATGTTATATGCAGGCAAATCTAACACACAGAGTAAAGGGATTCCTTTAATCTCTTGCATGATGATTGATAGACATCGAGGATATTAATGTAATTAATGAATTTACATAATACATCAATCTGATGCCCCACAACAGAGAAAACACATTCTTCTAGCATACACAAATATTCAAAACTTGTCACTGAACCACTAAGAACATGAACAGATAGGTATCCAGAACACATGTCAAGTGATCTCCCTCCTGGTCATAATGTAGTTAAGTTGGAAATAAACAGTAAGGAAATAAACCTGAAATTTTAAAAACCTCACTAATTATAAAATTTAACACACTTTTAAATTTCAAATTTTCAATGTCACATTCATACACAAAAATATAAAATCAGGCCAAGCATTTAATTCTCTTAAACCAATACATATCTAAATCACCATCTCAAAAAGATTTCTCAGGGAACTTTACCACTGAGGCTACAATCTTTGCAGAAAATCTGAGATGATGATGATGATGATTTATTAATATTATTTTGAATAAAAACAAAGCAGAGCATTGCTCATGAAATGCCAAAATCCATTCAATAACCACAGCAGCCAGGTAATCTTGACACGTAATTGAAATGGACCAATGGAAGGAGATCACTGCCTAGGACACACACACACACACACACACACACACACACACACACACAATACTAGTTCATACACACATCAGTGGGGTGCACTGATAAACTGTGCAACAAATGGTGCCGGTACTAATGTCAGTCACTGAATAAAATGTAGAGAGTCTTTCTTCATAGCAAACATGGGGGAAAAGCCTAAATAGTCAAGAAAAAAAATGAAACACACCCAAACACAACACCTGTGCCATAAAGTACTACAAAACATGCCTTCTTTTTGCAGTAGAATCTGTGTGACCTCACCATCCCTTCCAGGGACACAGACAAGCATCTGATGACTCATGCCTTGGTCTTTGCAGGAATCCTCTCAGCTGAGATAAAAGCTCCCCTCATCATCTGGGCTACCATCTCCCACATTCCTGCTTGCCTGGTAGTGAATCCCTTACTGAAGATTCCCAAACATTTCTCCTGGAACTTTTGCACTATTGCCAGGGACCCAGAAATCCCCCACATGGAAATTAGCAATAAGGAGTGTTTCCCTCTATTCTATTTCTGATATTTGACCTTAGGCAATTGTTTTTGTTTGAGAAGAGAAAGAAACTCGAAGGACATTGTTTTTCTCATAGGAATTTAGCATTATTTCCATTATGCTAATGTCAGAAATAAAGGATTGGTCCAGAAAGAACCAAATGATAAACTTGAGAGTGAGAACGATTTTCTTAGACTGGGAAACAAGCAGGTCCTTTTGTTCCATGCCATGGGAATAGTCAGCCCTTCTTTTTCTAAGACGTCCAAGCTTTCCCAGTAGAAAAGCATTCTGCCCAAACAACTGGAGGCAACCATTTGGGTCATGACTTTGAGTGGTTTGGGATGTCTCTGAACTTCTAACAGAACAGACAGAGGCCTGGGCTGAATGAACGCAGTGTAGATGATTTGACCTAAAGTGGGGGTGGAGGGCTGTCTGTCATCAGCAGTCTTTCTCTTTTGATGATGAATTGGCAATGTGTTGATCTAAGAATCTGCAGACAGACTAAACATGAGGTTGGAAGGCTTTCTAAAGACCAAGCTGAGACAAACAGGAGAGAGAACACTAGCTTCATCAAGACAGACTCAGTCTGCCAGCTAGTCTGCAACTGCTGGGCTAAGGGATGGCTCAGAGCTCAAGAGCCAGCA